CTGACTGAGAAATTGTTTGGTACCTATTTTTTAGTACTGAGCCATTGAAGACTTCTTGCAATGCATGCTAATGGCCTGTGGTTCATCACATATCACAGGTCCATGAAGATTTGAGTATTGCTTTTACCTTGAGGACTGGATAGAGGAGGAGTGATGTAGAAGTTATATGGAAGCCTATGGTCTAGTATTTCTCTCCCTAGAGTAAAAATTACTAAAATGGCCTTTTTCTGACAGTTTGTCTGATACAATCAAATCGCATAACCCACTTCTGAAGTGCTTGAACTCTGTGGCTTATACTGCAAAGCAGATAGTATTCAAGTTGACGATGTTGTGGCTCAGCTTCTGCCCATTTGTGTCTCAGCTTTTGTCCATCCACTTACTTAATAGTGATCTCAGCTGTTGTGCCTCCTGTTTTTGAAGGAAGTGAGCAAGGGATATTTCTCTGTCTCCAAAACTTGAAATTTAATCATTGCTGGAAACAGTGAGAACATGTGTAGTCTTGACTATAGCTTTATCATCTTATGCTGATCGCCTATTAAATTTTTTTCGTATCAGCTTGGATTTAGGAAATGAAAGATATGGGTGGTTACCCCTGAGCATTTATCTACGGTTATTTTACTATAAGTAAAAATACAAAGACTTGTATGGTAGCATATTCTTAAGAACAAAACCAGTTAGTACATGAGTTGCTATACTGATCTTAAGAAATGGATTTAAAAACTTGTCACTGTTTTCTCTGGATGACCCAGAAGAAAGTGAATCTAGTCTAATGTAATAAATGCGAGGACCAGGGGGAAAGTTATTGACTCTCTAAGAACATTTACCTTTGGGAGTGCTAGTCAGCTTCATATCAGAAGGAAAAGACCCAAGACTTAAAATCTAGTCAAAAATGCTTTTCAGGAAATTTTCCTTTCAGGTTCTGAAATGCAGAATGGAGAATAAAAAAAACCCCACCAAACCACTGGGTCTTCCATCCCCACCCTTTCCAAAACCAGTTAATTATACTGAATTTTAAGCAACTAAAGTGTGTGAACTTTGTCAGACTGTTAATAGCATACACATTTAGGAATAATTGACAACAAAATCCTGTTAAGGTATGAATAAGGGGACCAGTTGTGAAATGCAAATTAAGTATGCACAATGATAGGCATTTTAATACAAACCTGTGAGATGGGGTTTGAGTTTGAGGCTAAATAGCTTTGATAGGTAGCCTTAGAAACTGAATGTACAGTGGGTATATGTTTCTTGGCTTTTAGGCTATTTTAATGTTGTTTGAATCAATGCTAAGAGGTGAAAAGCTCAATAACATCTGTATTAAGTAAATATGTGGCCATTGTCAATGTATCACTAACAGCTCTTCACTGTAATGCCTTCTTTCTGCACGTACAGATACAACAGACATGCGAGAGAATGGACTCAGAAATATGCAATGTAAACTTGTGAAGACTTTTTCATATACCACAGAGTACTGTAAATTCTAGTTTGGTTTTTTTTTTCAAAATTAGAAGGAAATGGAGCACAGTTTACTGTTTCAATGTATCATGATGCCCCTTGAATTTTTTTTGACCCATGTAAGTGTGTTTCTGGAGCAAGGGAGATCAAACTTCCAAAAATAACCTTATGACTGTGATAAGAATATTTATCCTCTTTGTATGCTTTGCAGAAGACATTTGTTACGGTTTTTAAGAGTTGGACATCTGCATCTTCAGACTACGAGATCCACAATGCAGTTGTAAAGCAACCAAATTTATTTTTGCTGGAAAGAGCTGTTTTTATGTGATGAATACTGTATGTGTGTCCTTAAAGTATGTTGTCCGTTTCATAAGTGTGTTCAAATTGCATTTTGTTAATTCACTTATATAATTTGTATTTTTTTTACTGTATAGACTAAATATTTTATTTACCATGTAAGTCATTTCATTTTAGACTTACTTGCTTGTGCACAGTATTGACAAGATACAACTGCTAGTAATGAAAATAATTGGAGTATCCCACCTGTTGGGATATTCTAAAGACTGACTGCAGATTTCTTAAAACCTAAAATGATCTTTGCACTGTAATTCTTTGTACGCTGATTATGGAGAAACACTTGGTTTTGATTCTGTTGCATACTTGACTCTAATTTTATTGCAATGTGAACTAATTGCACTGCTATGTAGAAAGATATGTAACCGTTTTGTTGCTATTCACAAATGTTTTTTGACATGTGGGCAACATAACACTATCACAGACCTTTTACAAATCTAAATGTAGCCTTTTCCATATAAATAAAATGCGTTTTCTACTACTTGTCTTGGCTTTTTTTTTTAATCGTGCATATCCTTAAAGTGCTTGTTCTAACATCAGAGAATCGAAATATTGTGTGCATGTGTCTTGTAGACAAAAGGGAAAATAAAGCCATGCATCGTGTACTACTTAGAACTGTGTCGCAATTAATTTTTATGCTAGCTTTAGCCTAATTTATTTAGCATGCTATGCCCATTGTTTTATATAGGATTTCAACTAGTTTAATGACATGTTACATCTATATTCATTTACGGAGGAAATAATCACAAGTGTTTGAACATCGAACGCTTCAGATAAGGTGGTGTGTTGGCAATCAGAATGTTACAGTAAACTTCTCACACCTGAAGCTAACTTTTCCATTAACTGGCATTTCAGTTGCTGCAGACTATGCATGTGGAAAAGCAATAGTGCTGGAGAGGGACGGTCTTGTCTTAGTAGATTAAGGGCAGAAGAATTTTGATTTCCTACTGTACATTCTTCTTGGGTATCTGAAAATAAAAATGCGTGACTAATGTTTTTCTCTGTACCTTGCACATTAAAGTGACTGCAGTCGGGGAAATTTGTCATCAGAAAATACCTTTTTAAGACTACAAAAATATTTGGGGTTTTTTTGCTGTAATGAATGCCAAAGTGGAATTTGGGTTGTGGGCGGGAAGCGAGCACAGCAGGAGCTTTTATTCCTACCAATGGAATATTGTTACCTTCATGCTTGCTGTCTTACTGACCCAAATGGTGCAAGTTGGTCACGTATTGGCAAAATGTCATTTCTGTGCTACAGTTTGGTCTATGATGTAATGATGACTTTTGAAACAAAAGCTTGATGGAGAGTGGCTCTATTGATCTTAAAATATCCTTGTTCACTTCGGATTGTAAGCTGAATAAATGTGGGGGGTTTGTTATTGAAATGAGTGCTTCATTATACTTGAACTAGGACAACGTAGCTAGGAGGGCAAAGCCATTGCTAAAATGGTAGTAGAAAACTTTGACCATCAGAATGTGTTCCCAGAGCTTTTATTTTTTTTCTGGATTGGTAGTAACATGTTTGTGCTAAAGTTATTTAAATGTTTGCAATATCTGTATTGAACTGTGTGAAACTGGAAGTTTGACTTGCCTCTCGGGATACTCACTTTCGTTTGGTTTACTGATTTGTATTAGGGGTGGTTTGAAAACACTTGTACTTCAACTGGTAATTGTTCTGCTGCGTGCCGTACGTGCAAGAATGACTTTCCATCACAGTGCAAGACCTGCAGGATGATGATAACAAAAAAAACCCAAACAACAAAAACGAGTAAGGCATTCTGCCTACAGCCTCTTTATATACTGAAAGAATAATTCTGTCTTATGAACATGCTGTTTTAGAGGCTTGAAAGTAAGTCTTTGATTCTCATGTTTCTCCTAGCATTTCACAAGCAGGAAGTCTAAAATGCTATTGGAGATAAATACGTTATTTAAATGTCCTTCTTTCAAAGAGTTGGACAATTTCATCTATGGCTACTCCTCAGTCAGAGTTCCTCTCTTAATGCTTTTCTCAGTACGTGCTCTTTTTAAGGGAAAAAAATAGTTTTAGCTGACCTGTTACTCCATCCTGTGGTGTTTACTATGACGGAGAAAAATTGTGTCATCTCTGCATCCTTTTTTTCCGCCTCCCTTCAGAGCTGCCCCGTCTCCCGTGGCCACCGCCGCGCTTGCTCTGCCTTTTACAGCCCTCCCTGCAGCGGACTCTCGTGACCGGTGCTGTTCGGTTCTGGCCGCGGCCCCTCGCCGCCTGCTCCGTTAGCTGCTGCTCGCTGTCCAGTTGTCTGCCTGCATAGCCTACCTGAGGCCTAAACGATAATAAACGTGGAAGAAAACGATTGAGAAACGCGTCTGCCTCTCTCAAAGGCTGTGGGAACGGCGGGGGGGCGGGGCCGCGTGTGTAACGGGGACGGAGGGACGGACAGACACGCGGCCGCCCCGCCGCGGGGTCACCTTGGCCCGGGCTTCTCCCGCTGAGGGGGGCGGGGCGGGGAACGGGGGGCCCGCCCCGCCCC